TGATAAATCGAACAAAAACCCTTGGAAAAAAAAATTCGCTTGTCAGAACTATGAAATGGAAATTAAAATTATTTTAATTTTTTTTATTAAATTCAATGCTTTTATAATAATTTTTGAAAACTGGTTAGAATTTAAATAGAAATATATATTTTTAAATATATATATATATATATATATATTGAAAGTTTAGATAAATATTGTGTATATATATATATACATATATATATATATATATATATATATATATATATATATATAGGATACATTTAGTCGTATATATACAACACATATATATTTATATATTTGAATATATTTTATGTATATATATAAATATATATATATATATATATTGTATATATATTTACATATATATATATAATATTTGAATATATATGTACATAAATATATATTATATATATATATTATATAAATATATATATATATATATATATATATATATAGAATATAATATATTCATGAAATATATATCAACTTTCATATTTATATTTTAAAATGTCAGATATATATAGGCATATATATATATTTTTATTTTTATTATTCATTTATACATGAAAAGAAAAAAAATATATATATATATAATATAGTTAAATATATATATATATTGTGGTTAAAATATTGATAAAAATATATTTAATTATATTTTATAAACGCTATAAATTGTTTATTTTATTATGTGATGAAACAATTTATATTCATATATTCCTTTCATAAAACAGCCATATCATATTTATAGGATAAACATAAAATTTTGAAACATAAAATATATATTATATATATTGTTATAAATATATATATATATATATTGATATATATATATATTTATTATAGTTATATATATATAAATATATAAATATAATTTAAGTGAATTTTATTTTTTGTTTATATTATTTTATATATATATAAATATATATATATATTGTATATTGGTATATTTATATTATATAATATATACATATATAATATGCATATATATATAAATATATATTTATATATTTTATATATATATATTTTTATATATATTCTTATATATATAGAATTGATATATGGATGAAATAAAATTATATATTTATATTGTGTTTTCTGTTTTTTTATAAATTAAATATTTGCTTGATATATAACATTTTTATATAGGATATATATATAATATATATATATATATATATATAAAATTATAGATAAGATATTCGTTATATGTATATATTTTTTATATATATAATTTATATGCATATGTTTTATATATATATATGAAATATGTGCATATATGATTCTGTATATTTTTATATAATATAAATTTATATTTTATATTATATATTTATGCCCCTATAAATTATCCATATAATATATATAAGTGTGTATATAGTATTTAAATAAATATATATATAAAACTAATTTTAAAAAATTTTATATACATAAACTTATATATTTGATGTATAGTTTTTAACTGTATAAGAGTGTTTATATATTCTGTTTAAATATATATATATATATATATCATTTTGTAGATAATTTAAACCTTATATTTTAAAATATTTATATATATATACATATATATAGGTATATATATATAAGAATATATGTATGTATAATGCATGTTTATGCAATTATTTTTAAGAATATATATAGTAATTATATGTTTGTATATATATATATATAAATTGTATATATATATAAAATTATATATGTCTAATTAAATATTACATATGTGTATGCATTGTGTATATAAATATTGTACATACACATATTTGTAACAGATATATATATATATATATATATATATATATATATATATATTTATATTTAGTATACATTTAAATATATATAAAATTTAGAATACCATATTCTAAGTAGAAACCTATATATTAAATATAATCTAACTACAATTGAACAAATCTTTGTATGTGCATTTCATTATTTATATTAAACCCATTGGATGATGAATAAACATGATTATTTATTTGTAGAAAATTTCTCAAAATACCATACTGGACCTTGGGAATTTGGAAAGTTAAAAAATTCATTTTATTTTATTTATCTATATATTTATATATATATATAATAATTTCGGAATATATTTTCAATATTTTGATAATGTTTAGATTGAAATTTTCTTTGAAAAGAGCAAGGATGGATGATATTATGTCATTTCTCATGGAGTGGATTTATACATAAATATAAGTTAATAAAAAAAAACCCCAAAAAACTTAAACCAAAGTGCTTGATACGATGTGATGGTATCTAGAAATGATGAAACCATATTTTTTTATTTATAAATAAGAATATAAATTTAAAAATTTGATACCAGATGAGGTTTAAAAAGAAAATTTTATGAAATATAAGAATGTCTCAAAATCAGAAAAATGACCTTCCCGGGTTGATAAGCTTTTGCAAAAAATAATCCTTAATCGCATCTATTGTCCTCCATTACCTCATACAGATGGTTTTAATCCTATAATTATTATCATGGATCAATCAAAATATTTTTCTCTTTTAATTTTCAATGCATTTCTTTTTAAAATCAGAATCGAGGACATTTTTTCACTCGTGAGCAAGATTACATTAGGATTCATTGTCAGATTCAGGATTAGTTTACATTCGATTTTTTTTTTGGGGGATGATTACTTTTGAGATGTTAGACTTCATTATTCAATTTTTTTCTATACTATTTCCTGCTCTTTAATTTTTAAGTAGTTCAAATTACGGACTTTTTCATTTTCCTATGCTCGAATTGTTTTCAACAGTAACAAAAGGAAGAAGTTCTACCAACAAACTATTTGTATTTCAGCTCAAAAATATCTGACTTCCAAACACTTTAAATTATAAGAAAAATAAAAGCTCAAGATTTGGTCAGCAAATAAACATAGAATCAGCAATACAATGGAAGCTGCGATATATAAAATAGACTGCCTATAATATCACATGATATCTATAGATAGTTTTATTTCTCGGTGTTATTAAATATTTTATTAAAATAAAAGGGTGCAGAATGAGTTCAATTCGGAACTAATTTTCACTTTTTTTGATGCAAAAAATACAAAAATGGAATTGAATCAATAGATCCTATTGAGTTCAAAAGAAGATTGAGATTTCATAATTATCCTTTTTAAAATTAATTTCTAGATTAAATAAATTTTCTAAGTTTTTCATTTTTTTTAAATAAAAAAGATTTTTAAAATTGCATTTTAATTTAGAATTCCATTAGTGTTTTTAATTTGATTTTAAATCGAGTTGAAGTTAAATGAATAAAAATTAGTATCTGAAACTTGTAAAACATTTTCAATTTTATTTAAAAAAATGCTACCTCCATAAAAATAAATAATATTGAAAAATTACCTGTTGTGAAGTCCTGTGTTAAATAGTCAATGCTTTTTCTGACAGTCTATCCTCCTGGGCTAATCAGAAACATTATATAATGTTGAAATATCATTAATTAATCTACTTTCACACTATAGAAAAATATCAATAAATATTTACAGGGAAAAGGAATATCCACATTAACAATAAAATGCTAAATTTTAAAGAAATTATGCTCATTTAAAATGTTGAGAACCTTTTTTATAGGTAAATTCCTTCAAAAATCTTGGCCTGTGTTATTTTTTTTGTATACGAAAATCAATTAGTGTCTTTCTTAAAAAGAATACAACTTAATGGGTCTTTATCTAGAAGGGATATTAATAAAATAATCAACCAAAGAATAAATACCTTTTTTGGTTCTTAACTGATTGTTGAGGATTTTCCAGGAAAAATTGTTTGTTTAATTAAAAGACATAGGACAAACAAGAATCTTATTTTTATTAAGTATTATAGGCAGTAAAATTAATTGGTCCCTTTGGGAATTGATTTAAAAATAAATTTCGATTAAACAAATACTTGAGTTCTTGGATAAAGGTTTTTAAGTGAGTTAATGTATTTGTGATGATGATGATGATGATGATGTTATTATTAATAATTATAAATAAATAAAAATATAAAATAATGATAATTATAGATGAAATAAAGCAATAGCATAAAATGTATAAAATTAATTAAATAAAAATTAAAAATAATAAAAATTCTCCCAGCATGCAACAAAAACTATTCCTGTCGGAAATACAGACATCCCGCCAAAAGGTGTTAAATTTAATCTCTACACCATGAACCTTGTGTAACTTCTCTCTGTGATATGGCTTTTAATACTACGGAGTAAATTCTCCTTTTTATCACATGTACCATAAAACAATTTTAACCTAAAAAAAATGAACACACCAATGAACACAAAAACATAAAATAATTTGTATGAAATTAACATACAATGTACCATGTTTTCCTGTTATTTGTGTACGTTTTATTTCCTGTCAAGTATGCTTTTATCTCGGTGAACACAAGTCTAATTAATGTTGCTATGATGTGAATGAATCACCCCCATGCATTTTGGTGACTGCCGATTTGTATAAGAAAAACAACCTATTCACCCACAAGTATAAGTCATAACATACTTAATCTAAAAAACATTTTCATTTTGAAGACTTCTGTATTTGTCAGTTGCTTAAAAAACACAAAATTATGGCATCAACCAGGTACATTTTTTATATATCTGAAAACGTTTTATAAAATGGAAAGTACGTGTTGAGGTCACGCATTGACTTGTTTAAAGATGCATTCCAAAAGCTGTCCGTTAGTTGCCGAGAAACAGGAAAGACATCTAAAATTTCCTGGACTGATAAATTTTGAAGATAGGCAAATCATTTCTTTAATTGTTGCTTATGGTGACGTAAAAAAAATTTTTTCTAGTTTTTTTTTTTTTTTTTTTCAAAGATGAAGCATAGGCAGAAATGCCAACACTTGAGGGTTAAAGTGAAAGCGAAGACTAAGATCAGTGTAGTATATGTGCATTCTGTGAAAAGAGTTACATACAAACACACAATAAAAACACATGCAGACATATATGCTACATTTTGTTTTAGGTAAAGGATTGAGGGCATGGAAAAGATGAAAAGGGATCAATGAAGAAAATAGACAAAAGTACCAACTATCTGTTGTTTTCTCTAGTCTGTATATTTATTTTTTGTTTAAAGCTTTTATTACATACGAAAGAGATATAAACATTTAACAGGTGCAGAAGTTCAAATATCTGGGAACATTTTAATAGAGGAATAAAATTGACAAAATTAAAAAAATCAACTTTTTGAATTATTTAAAGGTTTGTTTTGCACGAAAGCTAAGCAAGGTGATGAGACACGTAAAAATCGTTAGAAACAAAGAAAAGAATTCTGGATTTCTATATGATATCCATCCATTTATATGGCAGTGAATGTTGGACAATTTCCCTAAGGATGAGGTAAACAGCGTGTGTCCTAGAAATGTGGTTCTACAGAAGGATACTGAGAATTATTCATGGAGAATTTCAAAAGCAAAAACGGAAGGAATGAAGTGCCATTTATTGTTGGCAATGGAAAATTTAAAATTTTATAAAAATTAAAAATTCAAAGACACTAAAAATCATTAAACAAGATATTTAAAAGTCTTTTAAATAAAAACATTCTTTGTTTTTTTTAATATATTTTGAAAAAATCACTGCAATGCCTTTTTCTTTCTTAATTTGAAAAAATAAACAAGGACTTCAATGGCACTCAATTTTCAATCGACTTTTATTTCAATTACCGAATTTTCCCCTTGACACAAAATTACCGAATCTTCCGTCCTAACATTTTCCTAAATTCCTCAATTCCTGAAGAATAAATATATTAAAAAATATGCAAACTTAAAAATCAACTTGGTAAATTTCCATTTCAAAGTAGATTTAAGGATTACTGTATCTTTCAAAAATAATATTTATTTTTATCTAAAACATAGAGAAAATATCTATCTCTCTCTTTTGATATATATATATATATATATATATATATATAGTAAAAAATCATTCCATCAAGTTTCATAAATGGTTAAAAAATAGGTATACTTAAAACTTAAAAATGATCAAAATTTGTAGAATTAGTAACTTTGTTTACGATCAGCGTAGTATGTGTGCATTCTGCACAAGGAAAACAATAAAACACACACACACATATCCGATAAAAAAAAAATATATATTTTATTTTACGTACATGCGTTTGTTTTTTAGGTCTTTAATTTTTTTCCCTCTGCCTTGAAGTAATATTTCAACAGCTTATTTGTATGGCCATTGCTAATATGGCGAATTTAAATTAAAAAAAATCGGCGATCACGATATTCTTAAGAAAAAAATTTATTATATTAAATTATTAGATTTCTGGGAAAAACATATTTCGTTTAAGTTTTCTTTTTTTAGAAAATGCTTTCTCGAAACTTGGTTTGAGTTTTCATCAATTAGATTTGTTGCCAGACAAATTTTTTCTTGAATGCTATGTTCTTCTTTATAACCACCTAACAAATTATACTTGTAAAAAGACAGAAGATTTCTTTAAAATAATTTGTGCGAAAAGAACAACGCAACACGAAATTGCTGAAATTTTGGTTCGGTTAATCAAGATTCCAATTTTTGATCCGTTAATAATTTTTTCTTGGAACTTCAATACCAAAAAGTAATTTTGTATTTGTTTTAAAACTGTGCAATATTTATGATATAACAACTAATGCTATTAAACTAAAAAAAACAAACTTTGCAAATAAAAAAATAATTTTACATAAAAATCACATAAAAAATGAACATACACAAACAAGTATAAATTTCTATCTATCTATATATTTATATCTATATCCCTCTATCTATCTATCTATCTATCTATCTATATATATATATATATAATTATATATATATTTTGTATACATTTACATATATATATAATCAGCTCATTAAAACCGTCTCTGTCTATTTGATTTTTAGTTAACTGATTGTCCTGTAACAAGTCCCTTCATTCATCAATAGATTAGAAATGAAAATTAATTCTGTCGTCAATAAAGTAGTTTCTCAAAATAGATCGCTTCTTTTTAAATATACTTGTTCTGAAAACATTTTTTTTTAAAAATTTTCCATCGTCTCTTCTTTTCCATTCATTTTATTTTTTTTTTTTCTAGGTTCCTTTATTCCCGTTTTTCTTCATTTATTTTTTTTTTTTTTACTTTCTTGGATTTTCGCTTTTAATTTCTTTTATTCTGTTCCTTTCATTATTTTTCTGTTATTTTTTTCTCTCTTTTTCGCCGAAAATAATCGTTCTTGAAAAAATTGGGAATCCCAAATTTCTGTCTTTAGGTCCTTCCTTTTCTCTTTGTCTTTCTTTGTTTCACAGAGTTTTTTCCCTTTCTTTCTTTTCTTTTCTATGTTGAGTTCCGTATTCCTTCCTTTAAAGTTTTTTTTTGTCTGACCTTCCATTTGTTATTATTTTCTTTCTTTCTTTTATTCCTTTATAACACCCTTCGGCGATTTTTCTTTATTTCATTTCTTTCACTTTCTTCAGATTTAAAAAGGAGAAGTTCTAAAATAATATTTACAAAATATTTCTTTCTTTAATTCCTTCTTTCTTTCTTTCTGTCCGTACGGAAAAAAGTCTTTTTCCAAAATCTACCTATTTTTTATTTTTTTTTTTTTTCTTTCTTTATTCCTTTATGTATCCCTTTCTTTCATTATTTCTTTTTTGTTACCGTTTCTTGCGTTGTCTGGGTTGAATATTCAATTATTTTTTTTTATTTCATTTTATTTCAACATTTTCTCTTTACAACAGACTCCCAACGAATAAGGGATTATGTTATTACCACACTCCCTTGGTATCCAAAAACTAAGTTTTTTAATAGATTTTGTGCTATAAACTCGTGTTCAGTTATTACGTGATGTTTTGTAACTTTATACTGAAATGATTAACATCATGGCTGTTAATCTGACAATAAAATTCCACAAAATGGATAAATTGTCGCTATTTGAGGATTATGAATTTAACAAAATATGCGCGTTAAAACTTTTTGATTTTATCGTCTGCATAGTATAGTAGGATCGTTTGAGCACTGTCTGTGAGAAAAGGATCGCCATGACGCAATTCACTTTCAATTTTCAGTATTTCGGAAACGGCATGCTGTAATGCTTGGCATTCGCGCCGGAAACTCCAATACGAACATTTCAGAGTGTTTGGCTGTCAATCTGAGGACAGTGCAGAGAATTATAAAAAGGTTGGATGACTCTAATGGTGATTACGAAGGTATATGGAGGGATCAATAGTGATGGCGACGTTATACATCCAATCATCTTCCCACAGGGACTCAGACTCAACATGAAGGCCCATTTTCAATTTGCCTTGAGGGGGCATTACTGTCCTCATTCAATCAGGGTGGCTGTTGGAAGATCCTGTGTCTAGGAAATATAAATATATATTCAAATTATCGCTGGTATCAATATATATATTTGATTGGTAAATATAAATAAATATAAGAATATATCCGTGCTAAATATAAACACTACATTTTTTTATTAAATATTTTGACCATCAGGCTCATCAACAAGGTTTATCAAAAAAAGTCTCATCCGAACATATATGGAAATGTTTTCACTCTCGATAGGAAAACGAACAAAATATCGTAATTTTTTTTAACATGAATCTTTTTTTTTAAGACATTCTTATGTTTATACGCTCTTTTTTTATAGATACAAATATTTAAGTAAATGCTATTTATAATAAACAGTATTAACGACAATTATATATGAATATCCGGATAAATTTTCATATATAATATATATTCTCTGATATATATCGAACCTGTATCCTTAAACCGTCATATAGCCTGACGTGTTTTTACCGATTTTGCCATATTTTATATTCATTTAAAGGTCGATTAAACTACAATTCTCCATGGTTTCTCTCGTACCCCATTCTGCTCGATGCGTAAACAAATAACGTATATATTATATATATTTTACAAAGTCCGACAATTATTTTATAAGACATTTTTTTGTTATTCGTTCTTTTTATAGATAAACAGTATTAAGTAAATTTTCTGTTTATATGTCCAGTAATTTTCCAAGAAAATTATCGTCCGACAGAATCGAACCTCCTATATCCATTCATAATGAATGAGAGAAACTTATGGAGAATTGTGTTTAAAAACAGTAAAATCGACTTTGCTAACCGAATGCTCCTCTGTGGCCCAATCGGTTAGGCTATGACGGTTCCGTATAGGATACTGGTTCGATTCTTGTCGGAGGACCCATATTTTCTATGAAAATTTCTCGGACATTTGGGCTGGTAAATGTTGTTTAATACTGTTTATTATAAACAGAGCTTGTACTTAAATATTTGTATCTATAAAAAGAATGTATAAACATAAAAAAATGTCTTAAATAATTGTCGGACTTTCTCCATATATATATATAATGTTTCAATATCTGTCTATATCTCTGAGATTATGATTACTTGCATTATTTACATTATTCGGTCTATTATCCTCATCTTCATTGCCATATTAACAACGTTTCGGCCGTTGTACGCTCCTGCTTTCTTCGTAAATGGAAACGCATAGAGTGTCCGAACTTTATACAAAATCTATCCACGACTCCTCTATCATAAATAGAAACTGAAGACCTCAAATTGGGACACGAATTCGCCATTAGCATTTAAAAAGAAAGAGGCAGTTGACAGAGGAAACACAAAATGACGGACAAGTACTTTGACTAAGGCTTTATACAGGAAATAATTACTGCGATAATAGGAACAAGAGACGAAGCCACCCTGCCACGAAGGTATGTAAAAGCATTTGAGAAATTATTGTTCCCTCAATATAAGGGCTAAGAGTCAAGTACAGGATCAGGTTGTTGTACTGACAAGATCCAAAGGAACACAAGGCATTACATTTGGGGCCGGTTTGGCTATAGGAGTTGCCGGAAATTTGTCAGTGTTCACAGCAAACCGCTTTAGAGGGCTTGACTCCGGGTTTTCTGTCTAGATTTACTTTCATAGCCTTTTCAGTGTTTGGATATGCGGAGGTTTAAAATCAGTTTTCCTTCATGTAAATGGAGTGCCTTCCAGAGCCGACGTGCTCAAACTATCCTAAGCAGCTGGTTAAAGGTGCCAGTCATCTGCCTTCATCCCTTTTTCGGCTTGGGAATGGACTTAGTTATCAGATGCTATTTGAGCCGCCTGCTATAGGAGTATTTGATAGACAGTGAAAGTTTTTTTCCACTACCACCCTCAAGGAAGGAGTAAAATATGCATATTATGAGGATATGTAGGATAGATAACGGTTCACCTTAGACTTAAACAGGTTAAGATTGTTGTGTTCAGGGAATTACACTCTCGGGAGTTTTTTTTTTTCCATAAAAGGAGAATTCTGGCAGATCGGATTATTTTTTTACATAATAACAATGTAAAGCAGATCTCCCACTAGACAACGTATTAATACGAATTAATCTTCTTTTTTTCTTTTTTTTTTTTTGTTAAGCCCTCATTATTTTCACATGTGACCCTTTAAATATATTTTTAATTTATTATTATCGCGCTCTCCTCTTTGAGCGAGTCGATCATTTCCCCACGAATTTTTGTGAACATTTTCACAAAGAACTAACGTTTTCAGTTGACATGAAGTAGAAAGAGTCTATTGAATTAATTGCTAAGTCTGCAGCTAATAAATTTGGTTCAATGTGTCCTGCTAGAGAATAATTTCTCGCCAGAATCTATCTTAAAATTTTATAAGTCTACCATTCGTCCTTGCCTTGAATATTGCTGCTGGGCTGGTTCTCCTGCTATATATTTAGAGATTCTTGATAAAATCCAAAGAATCTGCAATGTTATTAGTCCTGACCTGGCATCTCGACTTCAGTCCCTTTTCCCACCGCCGTAACTCTTTGGGTCCTGTCACTGGATCTAACCAACGTCTTTATCCACTGTGCCATGTGTCGCCATATTTATCACAACGTTTCGATTGTTGTACGCTCCAGCCTTCTTCAGGTGGTTGGAATGTCGACATTCCAAACATTTGAAGAAGGTCGGAGAGTTCAACGGCCGAAATGTTATGATAAATATGGCGACAAAGATGAGGACACTAGTCCGAATAATATAAATAATGTTCGTGTTTTTTGTTGGAAGAATCTTTCAGGTAGTTTTCGACTGACAGTACAGAGTCAAAGTTTTTGTTATCTAAATTCTGTAGAGATCGGAACAAATGAAAATCCGAAGGAACCAAATCAGGAGAGTGCGGTGGGTGCTGAAGGGTTTCTGATTTCAATCTTCTGCAAGGTCTGTTTTGCAATATGCGGTCTTGACTTGTCGTAGTGGAAAAAGGCACCATTTCGATTTGCCAAAATCGGTCGTTTTTCTTAAATAGCCGCATTGACATTTCTGAGTTGGTCGGAATACTTCTTTGCATTTATTGTTTCGTCGGCTGGAAGAAGCTCAATGTGAATTATCCCTCTGCAATCCCACCAAACGGACAGCAACAACTTCATTGGGTACCAGTCCGCTTCAGCCACGCGTTCCACACATTCAAAAGTTTGTTTTCAGCTTCGAACATTATTATAAACCATCCATTTTTCATCGCCTGTCTAAAAACGGCTCCTTTACGTGGCGTAACAGCAAAGAAATCGCCGCAGATACCAGACCGACTTTGGTCTGCTCCGTCAAAGAATGTGGCACGGATGTGTCGTGTTTGCAAACCAACCCTAGTCTCTTCAAATGACGAAAGGCAGTTAAGATATTGGTTTTCAAACTCTTAGCAATGTCTTCGTCGAAATTTTCGGTTTATTCTCCACGATGGCAAACAGAGCGTCTTCATCGACGTCAGAAAATCGCCGGGGCGCGGTTAATCGTTCAAGTTAAAATCACCCTGACGAAATCTGCTAAACCACTTTTTGAAAATCCAAAGATCTGGAGTACGATCCAAATAAACCTTCTGAATCTTTTTTTGTTTTTTGTTTTTTCCGCAGTTCCGACACTTACTCCTTTCTGAAATTTATAAAGTATAATAGGGTAAAATTACAACTTTCCATCTTCCATCTTTAAAGCATTTGTGGAGGACCATGTGGGTTTGCGAGTTATTGAATTAGAAACACATGCGTTTATTTCCTGCTAGAAGCTCCAACTACAAGAAAATGGCGGACTCTAATTTTTTAGTAACTGAAGATGTAATGAAAACAAAAAAAGACTGATATATATATATATATATATATATATATATATCAATGTCAAAAATATATGTATTAAAAGTAACTAAACACAATTTTTTACAATGGACATAGACATTAACGTTTGCGTGTGTGTGAACATTTGTGCTTGTTCTTTGGTGAATGCCCGTACGTCCGTGTATGTGTGTATAATGTTCATTGCGTCTTCCTAGAAGTGGAGAGACGCTATCTTCTAAGAGATCTTACAGTGTAGGTGCGTTCGCTGAAATGAAGAAATGAAAAAGAGAGCGAGGCATTTATAGTGTAAGGAGAGAAACCCCTAGTGACAATTAGGCAATTAAAGAGGAGCTAACTCCGACGCATTCATTTGTGGACAAAATGTCAACATTCAAGAAAGTCTTACTCACCACTGAACGATGCAAGTTTTCAATCTAGAACACACCAGAAATGCAACAAGTTTCAAGTTGCGGTCAACTTATATTATAAATGTTATTTTATTTAACAATGAACTTTTGCAATGATCCGATAATTATGACATGTAAGTTCACGTCGCCTGTACAAGGGGAGATAATTGAGGGTATATTTCTTTGGCATCATTAAAAATTGCAGGCAGTAAATTCATTTTTAGCGTCTGTTAAAAAAGTAAAAGCTGTTGTTGGAACAAAACTGAACAGCCTAAAAATAATGTACATTTTCAATAACGATGAATTGAAATTAGTAGCTTGTCTGATTCATAAAAAAATCAACATTCGTTTCCAAATTCTATTTATCAGTGAATTTCATTTTGTTTTTTCATTGTTCTGGTCGTGTGTGAAGGAAGTTGAAACTGCCTCTCCAACATCGCCTCGCCCTGCAGGGCATTGTGAGCAGCCTGGTCGGAAGCACATAAGAATGGATGGAGAAAAAAAGGAAATAATGGTAAAAAGAGATTGTTAAAAAGATACATTAACGTGAAGTTGAGATGAATTCACTTAACCCAACGCAACGATGATTAAGGGAATCAGTTAACACACATACATACATAAACATTCTACCCACAGCCCTGTTCTATTCTCTTTTAGTTTTATATTTGTGTGTTTGAAAGGAAAAATGTGGTTTGAGTCAGCGTCCTTAGATAAACTAAAAACTACTTAACGGATTTACCTCTCGATTTCATCGTTTTCAAGAATAAGGAGTTTATAGGGGTCTTATAATAGGAGTTTATAGGGATCCTATAATAGTTCTTCTCACAACTTATCATCTTTGTATTATTTTTATTTCTGTTGATGTTTTCAATTTTATTTCTTCATAAGAATTTTTTCAAACTCTTATTTTCTTTTTCTACAACCTATTCATCTATCTATCTATCTATCTATCTATCTATCTAAGTCGCTTCATCTATCTACTTCCCACTCTCATTGCATTTTTTTCATCTCATTTCGTTTTCTTTCTTTCTTTCTTTCTTTCTTTCTTTACGCCTTTTCTTTCTCACGTTCTTCCTTACTTTTTGTTTGTTTATTTCTTTATTTATTTCTTCACGACTTCTCTCTCTTTCTCTCTCTCTCTCTCTCTCTCACGCGATATCTCCTTCTCATTCTTTTCCTTCATTTTTTCTTTCTTTTTTTTTCATTTTCTTTCTTTCTTTCTTTCTTTCTTTCTTTCTTTCTTTCTGTGTCCGACTAGCGATCCTATTCTTTTTTCTATCTATCTATCTATCTATCTATCTATCTATCTATCTATCTATCTCAGTCTCTTCATATCTATCTACCTAACCATTATTTCTTTATTTACATTCCTTAACCTTTTCATTCGTTCTGTCATATCTTTCTATGAAAATAAAACCCAGGCATTTTTTTAAATCTTCCTTACTTTTTTCTTGTCTTTTTCTCATTTTCCCTCTGCAATTCTCTTTTTGCAATCCCCTTAAGACGGCATTCTTTTCCTTCTTCCTCACTTTCTCCCATTTCAACTTTTTAACTTCTCCCTCTCACTCTAGCATTTTTTAACACATTGATTACTTTAAAACTTTTCTCTCTAGATACAGCTTAGCATTTCGTTTTATTTCATATATTTCTTTCTTTCCTTCCTTCTGGTCAGCAGCGAGCGCTTGTGTCTCTGTCTGACTACCCGTATCTATAGGCCGCAAAGTTAGCACAAAAATAAAATGAACGTCTCTTTTTATGTTATTATTGATTTATTTTTAGAAAGCAAACTCGTGTAAGACTCACATCACATCTTTTTAAGGGTCCCACTGTACCACATTCTGAACAATGTAAGCCGAATGAAAGAATTACGTATCAAATTTCTGACTATTTTTTTTTTAATGTAATTGGTTGGGTGTAATGATATTTGTTCTCGCTTCAGTTTGCGCATGCGCCTTGTGTATATAATGCGATGATAAATATGAACCTTTTTTTCTGCTAGAATGCAAGAAATAAGCGTATTTTTAGGATTATGTGTTCTTGAGTTCTTCCGGTACCTACTGAAGATGGTTGGCTTGCTCTCTTGTCAGACACTCCTGTAATTTCCTTGCTTTTATTTATTACTAATTTAGCATACTACCCGTCAAAAATTACAGGAATATATATATATATATATATATATATATCTCCAAGTATATGATTGGTGTATATGAAATGAATTCCAATAACCAACAAATACTATTCTTAAAAGAGTGCTCAATACAAAAATGAGTAAATGAGGTGGACATCGATTACCTATATTTGTTGACTTTTGATGTCCGATTTTACATTTACATACACTATTTTAATATATTAAATAATATTATTTTTAATTATTTTTATCTTTGTATATTTGCTCGCTTAAATTTATATTTTCAATAAGTTGTTAGCATTTATGTAATGACACTTCCAGTCTTAAATATTTATTGGTTGTTGTATCCGATTGTCTGGGTCAATGTCTGTGGACGTGTGTGTATGTATTTATAATTGTCTATGTATATGGAAAGTGCATTCACTTTTAATCGTGTATGTATGTACGTGTGTGTTGGTTTCCCTCCCCTGCCCCTTTCCTTTTTTTTTTTAAACGATCGTGGTGATGTTCTCTGTCTCGTCTCTTTTTGTGTCTGTGTGTGTGTGTGTGTATATATATATATATATATATATATATATATATATATATATATATATATATATATGTCTGGGTGCTTATATATTATAATCTGATTGCGTTTGTTTTTTTCGTGAGTTTAAACCCCATTCACACACTCTTAAAATTAAAATGTATACATTGTCAAAGACAGGATATAAAATTAGCTAAAGTAACTTCAATAAATTGATGTTTATATTTTTTTCTCCTCAGTAATTTTATAGTTTTAAACTTAATAGCGATTAAATTTTGATTTTGAAATTAGCAGTTTGTAATTTTAATATTAAATTTTATCATATAATTTAGTAACTATTGGTTAGAATAATTTCTTTTTTAATACTACCCATATTTTAAACATCTGAATAGCTATTATAACATGACTTCGTTGTCAAGCTTTTTGAATTTTCCTATACTTGTATTTTGATTGGTCCATCTAGCTTTTGTAACAACGTTTTCCCCTTGTGAAGGATTGTTAATTAATTTGAAACTTTTAAAACCATTTATTTTACATTCTTCATCATCACTTGATAAGACACCGAGGGTGTTGAAACAAAATGGCTATTTTTGTAGTGATTTTATTACATATTTATGTTATAAATTTTTTTTAAATAAATAATTATATATATATATATATATATATATATATATATATATATATATATAGCAAGAGAGAGAGACATTTTTGTCTCGGTAGTCTTTTATGTATAACATTTATTAAAGCTTTAAAATCTGAAATTTTAATTGTCAGATTTTATATATAGATATAGACAAAATATATATAAAACAAAGTTCAGGAGCAAGGATAGGAACAAAAATCACTCACTATAAAATGGTGAATCGAAAAATATAACACCAAAAAATAAAAAAAACCTAGCCAACCGGTTATCGCTCCTCACGCTTCAGAGCCAATCGAGGATAAAAAAAAAATATGTGCGCCACGACGAAAAAGAGGAATAAAATTTATCACCAGAGAATCATTAATAGTATATGATTTTGGTCGGGTTTATTTATTTAAGTAATTCACCCCAAGCAAGGCGGGAGTGCCACTAGTACGCAAAGGACTATAGAGAGTGTAAGTAAGGGAAAACGACTGGGTATGGGGGGGGTGAAAAAAGAATAAAAAGAAGAACAGAGGAGGGTAAAAAGAAAAATAGAGATCAGAGTAACAGAAGATGTTGATTGACATTACATTTAAATTTTTGAAGATTATAATTATCAGGGGAGCAAGTAAGAGGAAGGGAGTTCCACTGTCGGGAAGTGCGAGAAAAGAAGAGAGTAGAAGAGGCGGTTACATTTAACTGTTTCGACAGTAAAAGGGTGGGGCAGACATGCAAACCTAATAGCACGCTTAAATTCATGCAGTCAAGACACTAGTGAAAATAGCTCGTCCGAGCAGATGCCATGAAAATATTTGTAGAAAAGACAGAGGGAAGCCACATTACGTCGGTGAGAAAGTTACTCGTGTCGAGACCGCAAGTCAGGACCGATCACATTGCATATCTGTCTTTGGATTTTGTTGTGAACCTCGAGATGAACAACAGGGACACCAGACCATATATGGCAACAGTATTCCATGCATGGACGAATGGTAGATTTGTAGATGGGAAGGATGGACTCAGATGAGAAAAACCTTCTAACGCGAAACAGAAAACCAACTTTCCTTGCAGTAGATGCAGCAATTGATTCAACGTAGTTGTTCCACCTCAGGTCAGTGGAGAACGTGAGAACACGAAGGCGCAGAGAGGCGCTCTCGTGGTATAGTAAAATACATCAGTGAATATTGGTCAGGTTTAAACTTGAGTCTCTTGGTAAATTTGGCCGGGCTTATATTGAAGTCAATCTGTAAACATTTGTTCAAGGTTTTTTGTTGCTAAGTGTCAAGGTTCGAAACATTTAACAATAACATCATCTTTTAAATGAAACATAAAAAAATTGCTCTCCTGGAGGAAAAGTAGACGTAGAACGTCAGTTGAAATAACAAGTTATATATCCTGTTTGGAAATATACAATAAGTTATATATCCTGTTTGGAAATCTACAATAACAACAAAATGTTCAATTTCCCTTGCATTGAAGTATTCGTTTTTTTATAGAAAGGTTCACCCTTTACAAGGCCCGGGGGTCATTCGAGATAGAAGGTTACGTTCGGATTGCAAGATAACGGTTGAACTGATTGTAGTGATCAGGGAAACAATCCTCGTGGGAGTCGGTTCCAGAGAGCAGTGATTCACAGGAACATCGTAGAGTGGAACTTAATTCGCAAATGGAATACGGATATAATGTGGATGGTTTGCCACTATGTGGCACATGATATAGCATGTCGTTACCGTGAAGGTTTGAATTTCTCAACCATCGAATGTAGCTCGTCCGAACACTTTCCATGGAAATTGATAAAGTAATTAAAACATATTCTGCCATGAAATGTGTGGACAGACTTGCTTTAAGACCCTTGGCCTAATGTGTTTGGGGAGTTCAAAAAATATTCTTAAATCAAAATGCAGCTTCTGCTTTTCCCTTCTATTGAGTTCCATTTCAGGTCGGCGACTGCTGGCTATCGTTTCTTCCATTGTGTGCATGTGTATAGGTGCGTGTGTTTGTATGTACATGTAATTCAAACTGGCCTCCGAAATAGTTTTTAGCTCCGAGAAGCAGTAGGTTTCTATTTTTATACCCGTAAGGGGATCCGAAATGTAATTTCACATCGAGGTTTTCTAACAAATGAAAACCTTGTATACAAAAAGGCTTTCATTTGTTAGAAGATAATTTCACACTGACTTGCGAAAATCTTTTCCCCGAATTTGCGGGAGTGGCGAAAGGAGTTCTTATTGTTATTTTCTAAATGGTCCCAAAATAACACATAATAAATCTACAACTACGCCTGCCAAGTATTTTGACGGTATTTGTTGTTTATCAAACAAAACTTCCGGTACGATTTTATTGGTTGAAAAATATATAGAGAATTTAATTCCTACACATTAGTCGGGTTTAAAATTGAGTCGCTAGGTAAATATAATGCTAAATATGAAAAAAAAAAACCAAAAACCTATAGTATAAACCCGACCAATATTTTGTATATTGTAGTATCCCCGCCTTGCTTGGGTGAAATGATTAAAACATTTCACCGCAAGCAAGGCGGGAATACTACTAGTACTCAAAGAGTTACAGAGAGTGAAGGTGAGAGAAAAGACCATCTATAGTGGGGACCGAGGAAAGGATAAAAGCTGAACAGGATTCAAGATGACAGAAGATGGCGATTGATATTGCATTTAAGTTTTTAAAGATTTTGAAGGGAAGCAAGTAAACGGAAGGGTGTTCCACACGTGGGGAGCGCAAGAAAAGAAAATGTTGGAGTAGAAGTGATGGTTACATCTACCTAATTCATCAGTAGAAGAGTGGCACCTAGATGCCAATCTAGTCGCACGTTTAAACTCGCGTAGTCCGGGCACCAAAGGAAAAAGCTCGTCAGAGCAGCAGCCATGAACATATTTGTAGAAAGGACTGAGGGAGCCACGTCACGTCGGTGAGAAAGTGTTTGAAGTCGAGAAGCCAATTAAGGATTGATTACATGGGATCTTGTCGAGAACCTCGAGATGAGCAGCAGGGGCACCTGACCAGATATGGCAACGGTATTCAATGCCCAGACGAATGGTAGATTTGTAAATGAGCAAGATGGACTCTGACGAGAAAAACATTTGACACGACATAGTGATCCAACTTCTCTTGCAGTAGATGCAGCTATTGATTCGATGTACCCATTCCACTTCAAGTCAATTGAAAACGTGCCTCTGTCGAGTCAATTTTAAACCTGACCAATATATACCTATAGAGTAAACCTTTAACCCGACCAAATTTTACCGATTGATTTTACTA